CACACACACAGCACACCCCAGACACCCACAGCACACACCAGACACCCACAGCACCCCCCAGACACCCACAGCACCCCCCAGACACAAACAGCACCCCCAGACACCCACAGCACCCCCCAGACACACACAGCACCCCCCAGACACACACAGCACCCCTGACACACACAGCACCCTCAGACGCAGACAGCACCCTCACTACCACACACACATATATATATATATATATATATATATATATATAAATAAAATAACCCTCAGTGAGTTAACAGACAAAGAAAATTAGAAACCTAGAATGGGACGGCAGATAAAAACACCCTCACACACAGCACCCCTCTTACACAAACACACTGCGCACCTCACACATACAATACGTCCAAATATATTCTAAATATATATACACACACACTACAGCACCCCTCACACTGCACCACTACACACATAACGCTCCAGATACACGCTAGATCCCTTACCCTATATGCACTCTTAATCCTCTACACACACACACACACACACACACACACAATCTTCTATACACACTCTGGGTCCCTTACACACTAGATCTCTTACGCACACACACCTACACACACTACATTCCTTGTAAGCAAACACATACAACATTCTCTAAACACACCCTCTCTACAACCCCTACACACACTACGTCACCTATACACACACACTACTGCCCGTATGTACACACTCGCTACATCCCCTATAACACTATGCCCCTATACACGCACTCTCTACAACCCCTAGCCACATATTACACCACAAAATTGACCTATTTACACAATACCACACCACACTCTACACACACGCAATCCCACAAGCATGCGCCAAACACATGCACCATACACTTTCCTGGCCCTTTTGTCCTCTGGTATCCCACTTGTGGAGACACCAGAGACAATTTAAAAGCTAACACATTTGCTTGCGCTGCGCAGAACAAATTCAGGGCCTTTTTCTAATGCTAGAGCTCTTCAGCAGGGCTCTGCGCATTGAACCAACATGCTCACTTTGAGAGGGGGCGTGTTGTCATTAGTGATGACAAAACACACCCTCTCTGGCCCCGCCCCCTTCTTGGGGGGCCGCTCTAATTGAAAAATGCCCGGCCTAATTTTTTTCCCAGTCCGGCCCTGGATATATCTGTGTGCTCATTTGTGTATTCAGCAAAGCATTTGGCAATATTCTGGAATTCAATAGCGCTACTATGTATATATAGTAAGATTTTTATAAATCCGCCTTATGATACATAGAGCGTAGAGATTGTACATTAATATATTTAATAATTTACTGAAATAAGTAAATTGTCAATTTTATTCTCATCCCTACTTGCTTAACGAATGTCATTATATCTATATTTTCATCTAATAAACAGAAGTAGTGCCATTTTTATGAGACCAAGTAGGTTTAAATATTTGTCTTGGTTTGTCATTTTGCTCTTGGGGCTCCTAACTTTTGTTTTGGTCCAAAATCTATATTTAGCTATGTTTAAAATATCAGGTTATTGACTTTTTTTTCATTGAAAACATTATTACATAGGATTTCGAGATTGATTTGAAGATCCTCCCAAATGTTGACAGAGTTGTAAATTTTGCACTAATTGTATGGTACTATAAATATACAAAATACAGAGTACACCTGAATTCAGCACAAAACACAGAGTACAAAGATGTGACCTAAGAATAAAAGACAGAATTCTAAAGGGAAAGTCAAGTACAGGTTTTTTTTAAAATGGACTTTGGTGACAACATTTAATTTTGCCCTATGTTCATTATTACCAACGTATCATATGGCTTGAGAGAAATTCTTTAATTTTATTGGCTACTTTTAATGGCAATCACATCCTGACTTGTACAGCAGTCTTCCATGCCATTGGTAGGAATGAGGGTTCCAGCTACAAAAGGAGGGGAGCACTGACAGTTATTTAAATAGAATTAAAAGTAACAGCAATCAGTAAACTGATTAAAAAACAGGATCTGATATAAGATAGATAACAAGTCAATAAGGAAAAAAACAAATAAGTTCAAATACAGTCCTTATAAAATGCATAACAAGTCCCAAACTTAGTAGTCAATAAATAAAAGGGATTATAAAAAAAACACTGTGGCAAAATATGCTATATACTGTAGCAGTGATAAAAGCACCTCTTGCGAAATAGTATAATACTTAGTGTAGAAGGTGTAACAACATAGTACATATAATCCAAAAGAATTAATGAAGTATTCTACTTTAAACCATATTATACAGGTGATACTCGAAAAATTTGAATATCGTGCAAAAGTTCATTTATTTCAGTAATGCAATGTAAAAGGGGAAACTAATATATGAGATAGACGCATTACATGCAAAGCAAGATAGTTCAAGCCGTGATTTGTCATAGGTGCGATGATTATGGCTTACAGCTCATGAAAACCCCAAATCCACAATCTCAGTAAATTAGAATTTTGTGAAAAGGTGCAATATTCTAGGCTCACTGTGTCCCACTCTTATCAGCTAAGTAAGCCATAACACCTGCAAAGGGTTTCTGAGCCTTTAAATGGTCTCTCGGTGTAGTTCAGTAGGAATCACAATCATGGGGATGACTGCTGACCTGACAGTTGTGCAGAAAACCCTCAATGACACCCTCCATCGGGAGGGAAAGCCTCAAAAGGTAATTGTGAAGGTTGGATGTTCCCAAAGTGCTGTATCAAAGCACATTAATAGAAAGTTATATGGAAGGGAAAAGTGTGGAAGAAAAAGGTGCAAAAGCAGCAGGGATGACCGCAGCCTGAAGAGGATTGTCAGGAAAAGGCAGTTCAAAAGTGTTGGGGACTTTCAAAAGGAGTGGACTAAGGCTGGAGTCAGTGCATCAAGAGCCACCACATACAGACGGAACCTGGACATGGGCTTCAGATGTCGTATTCCTCTTGTCAAGCCGCTCCTGAACAACAAACAACGTCAGAAGCATCTTACCTGGGCTAAAGAAAAACAGACCTGGTCTGTTGTTCAGTGGTCCAAAGTCCTCTTTTCTGATTAAGAGCAACTTTTGCATCTCATTTGGAAACCAAGAACCCAGAGTCTGGAGGAAGAATGGAGAGGCACACACTGCAAGATGCTTGAAGTCCAGTGTGAAATTTCCACAGTCTGTGTTGATTTGGGGAGCCATATCATCTGCTGGTGTTGGTCCACTGTGCTTCATTAGGTCCAGGGTCAAGGCAGCCGTCTACCAGGAGATTTTGGAGTACTTAATGCTTCCGCAGACGAGCTTTATGGGGATGCTGACTTCATTTTCCAGCAGGACTTGGCACGTGCCCACACTGCCAAAAGCACCAAAGCCTGGTTTAATGACCGTGGGATTACTGTGTTTGATTGGCCAGCAAACTCGCCTGACCTGAACCCCATAGAGAATCTATGGGGCATTGCCAAGAGAAAGATGAGAGATATGAGACCGAACAATGCAGAAGAGCTGAAGGCCTATTGAAGCATCCTGGTCTTCTATAACACCTCAGCATTGCCACAGGCTGATAGCTTCCATGCCACGCCACATTGAGGCAGTAGTTGCTGCAAAAGGGGCCCAGACCAAGTACTGAGTCCATATGCATGCTTATACTTTTCAGAGGTCCGATATTGTTCTATGTACACTCCTTGTTTTATTGATTGCATGTAATATTCTAATTTACTGAGATTGTGGATTTGGGGTTTCATGAGCTGTAAGCCATATTCATCGCACAAATCACGGCTTGAACTATCTTGCTTTGCATGTAATGCGTCTATCTCATATATTAGTTTCCCCTTTTAAGTTGCATTACTGAAATAAATGAACTTTTGCACAATATTAAAATTTTTCGAGTATCACTTGTAGGTAGTAGATCTTAAGAAGTTCATCTGTATGTCGGATATCTAAAAAATGTAATACAAAAAGAGCATAGTGTTCTATCTACCTGCAGTAATTTGTTAATAGTAAGAATAAAAACACACAAGCGTAGAACTCAAGATAGCCTCGCATGGAACGCTGTCCCTTCAGGAAAATAACAAAACATTCCCTCTGTGCCGGCTTGATCTTTAGAATGGGATGGAGGGTCCGTGAAATCCTATGTTGGGACTGTTGTGCTTTCCAGTGCTCGGTCTCCGGCATTTCACCACTTGTAGATGCAGCTATGGCTAATGTTAAAAATAGCGCTGGACAATATTCTTAATTTGTATCATGTATGAATATTGGTCACTATGGCAGCACCATTCCTGTAGAATGCATGTTTCGGGTGTACCCCA